TTCAAACAACCCAAAAATCATACCCAGGGCTCCAAATTGACAAAAGCCATTGATGTCCTGCTCACAATGACCCTCCTTAGGCGCACTGGGGACCCTCCCCTACGTCTTCTCTGACAAGCCCAGCCAGAACGGGTTCCTTTTCTAAACTCCCTCTTATTCTCATCCTTATTCGTTCCAATGCTCACCCATATAATTTTCTATTAATGGTTTCAGTTAATGTTCTTTTTTCTCTCCCATAAAACGAAGTCTCCTAAGGGATAGGAAATGGCAGCAAATTTCTTTGGCAGCATCACGACGACGGTCACACTTACCAAGAAAAATAAGAACAGGGTCTGAAGCTTTGACTCTGTTCAAGAGCTCTGCCCCCTAGTCTTCACATTTTGCACTGTGAAGCACAGATTGGGATGCTATTACTTTCCAAACTGGTTCCTAACCCCTTTAGTAAATAAAATCAATACATACAATTTACAAATCAGGTCTGTGCTAGTTAAAACGAGGGCAAGGGTTCCCCACTCCTAGTCTAGCTACACAGAGCCCTCCATCTATTAAGGGCTAGGGCAAAACCTGTGGGGTTCTAAGTAGAGCACTGTCGAGACCCCTGATTACTTTAGGGTTCCCCTCCAGCTACTCGCTAACAGGTCCCCACAGCCTTGCCTCCTTGGGCCGATCTGTGACTTTCTGGAGCTTCTAACTACCAAGAAAGTGGTACGGCCATGCTTCCAGCAACCAGAGCCAAAGCAATTTCTAGTTATCACTCCCCAGACAGGCACACTCCAGGCTTAAAGGAAATGCTTTGGCCACAGGGGGCGCGGGGGCAGGGAGGGAATCTTTTAAAAGCAGAGTTTCTGGACAATGGCTCTACCAGCCATGTTCTCTTCTCTGTTTCTTTTAGCAAGGGGCAAACATCGCAAAAGCAAAGCAAAGCTAAAATAATGCCCTGAGCAATTTGAGGTGAAGCTGGAACCAGGTTGCATTCTCAGTGGCTTGCTGGAATTCTGTAAATAGCCACCGAAGTGTTCATCCTGATACTCTTGTCGGTCACCAGCCAGAAACGAATGCAGAACAATTCTATCAACCCGAGGACCTGTCTTTTTATTGCTAAAATAAATCCACACAAGAGCAACAGACTTAGTGCAGGCACATGATGAATCCGCAGTGAATTTGAATTTTCAGCCGGGGCTAAGTTGCCATAGTAACTTACACATTTACCCTAAAAAGGCAGGAATGGGGGTGGGGTGGGGAAGTAGGTCAATATTTCTGCTTAAGTAGCTCTGTTCCTTGGCTTCCTCCACTCCTCTTAAGTGGACGGTTCCCTCTCCCCACCCCAAAGAGAGTGGGGTTGTGACCCAGCATGTGAGCTTTTCAAATCAGGGGGCAGGAAAAGGTCTACCTAGAACAGCGGTTCTCTAGCTGTGGGTCGTGACCCCGTTGGGGGGTCAAATGACCCTTTCACAGGGCTCGGCCCATTCATAACAGTAGCAAGATTAGTTATCAAGTATCAACGAAAATAATGTTATGGTTGGGGGGGTCACCACATGAGGAACTGTATTAAAGGGTGGCAGCCTTAGGACGGTTGAGAACCAGTGACCTAGAGGGAAGGAGAATCCACAGGACAGCCAAATAAGCCTCTCTCTTGCCTGCTCCCTGGGCCTACCCCAGGGGAAGCAGGTGCTGATCGAGGGCACCAGCGCTAAGGAACTGTTGCTGGGTTACTACAAATCAGAAATCGCCATTTTTCCTGGAGCACGTAAAGTACGTCTAATGGAACACCTGGGAATGCATTAATAACAGCCCGGGGTTGGAGGTAGTGGCGGAGCGGGGACGAGCCTCTAACTCGGGAGAAATCTGAAGTCCTTCACAAGAGGCCTTTTTCAGACAGATGGAAACTGTGCGCAGGGCTAAAGGATACATTACAAGAGAGCAAGGCTTTGGGGTTCCTTTGCAAAGCAAGTCAGGTTTTTCTGGACATTTATTGGCTATCTGGGTTTCAAACGACTACAAAATCAAAGCGGGCAAGGGTGGCTCTGCCCTCAGCGCTGCAGCGTGCCAGAGCTCATCAGCGGCTCTTCCACTGGGGGGCTGGGGCGCCAGCGACAGAGACGCAGGTTGAGCAGAAAGCATTTGCAAGCAGGTGCAGTTCCACTCTCCGGCAGCTGGGGGTGCCTGCTCAGGGAGAGTCTAAGGCAGCACTAATGGTTTTAACCATTTGGTGTGAAGGCCCAGGTATTCCAGAAGGTAAAAGAAAAGATAATCCTGGAAAAGAGGGGGTTGGGGGTGGGGGGTGGATTGAGGAGCATCAGGGCTCAAGTAGAAAGAAAATGTTTTGAAAATGATGGTAACATGTACAAATGTGCTTGACATAATGGGTGTGTGGATTGTGATAAGACCTGTAAGAATTCCCAATAAAATGATTAAAAACAAAACAAAACCAAGATAATTCTGGGTGTGGGAGTGTGGTCAAACAAACAACCATCATTTTATGTATAAATGCATAACAAAACCTTCGCCACATCAACCATTTTTATGCGTACATCTCAGCAACACTAATTGCATTCCCTATGTTACACAGTCATCACTAAGGTGACCAGACGTCCTGATTTTTAACAATTTTTCCCGTGTCCCGCGGTGTTTTAAAAAAGTCCCGGTTTTTGGAAAGAATGCACAACAAGCTAGGGTATACAGTTTTTGGCTGCCATGTGGCTATTTTGCCAGGATATGAGTTTTGTCAATGGTGTCCCGCTTTACCAATGTTAAAATCTAGTCACCTTAGTCATCACAGAACCGTCCTTTTAACCAGTAACTGTTTTTGACCCCAACCTCCAGACTTCCTACAGCCAGTGAACAGAGGCTTCCAGGGGAATGACTAACTGTGGGACAGAGATGAGGGGGTACCCCCCCCCCGCATTTTTCTTGCTAAGTGAGCATTAAGCAACTCGCTGAGTTAGTGCAGCCTGTGGCGTCACCTGGGAAGGTTCTCTCTGGGAGCAGTGAATTTTTTAGTGAAATAGTTTCTCTCAAACCTCATTTTAAGTGAGCATTAAGCAACTCGCTCTGAGTTAGTGCAGCCTGTGGCGTCACCTGGGAAGGTTCTCTCTGGGAGCAGTGAATTTTTTAGTGAAATAGTTTCTCTCAAACCTCATTTTTGGTGATAATCAATTTAAGAGAAGAGCATGCAGCTGTGAAATTTTGTTAACTGCTCGGGATAAAGGTCATAGCAACTGTTGTGATGTTGAACACAGCTTACAAGGACAGCACTATGGGGGAAAAATCAAGTGTATGAGTGGTTTTCTTATTTCAAAAAAAGTGAAATGTTGATTGATGAAAAACCTCGCTCTGGATGCTGTCAACTTCCCGAACAGACGAAGTTGTCCACTCGTCCACTCGTAGGGCACTTGGAGTTCATGCCACCAGGTCAGACTGTTAATCAAGCTTTCTATTCAGAGGTTCTGAAAAGATAGTGTAACAATGTGCGACAAAAAAGGCCTGATTGGTGGCCAGATGGGGGACTAGTTTTGCTACCATGACAATGCACCTGCTCACACAGCCATCTCAACAAACAGCATGCTTCTCTTCCCTCATGCACCTGAATCACCTGACCATGCTCCATGAGACCTCTTTTTGTCCCTGTGAATGCAGAGGGTCATGAAAGGACAGCTATTTGATGACAGAGAAGAGGTAAAGGAAAAAAAAGGTGCTGTCAGCCATCCAAACAGATGAGTTTGAAAAATGTTTCCAAGAATGGAATTGCAGATTTGATGAATGTATCAAGTGTAATGGGAGTGCTTTGAAGGTGATAAGGTTGGTTTGTAAAAAAATTTAAATAGCTTTGAAAAAATTCCAGTTTTTTGGGGGGTAGCCCCTCATACTTCATCCCATAGCACTAGTTGCAACAGACCAAGGATGGAGGCAAGATAGGTTCCTGTAATCCTATTGGCTCCTTGTGCTTCAGCTCTGTCCAGTGAGCAGGGACGCCCATTGCTCAAAACAATGCATGCTTAGGCTGAAGACTGGAGGCCCCAGACTCCAATCAGTCAGTCATTCTTTTTTTTCTCTCCCTTACTTGGGGCTAAACCATTCTTTTTCTTTTTAATCGTTTCATTAGAGGCTCATACAACTCTTATCACAATCCATACATACATCAATTGTGTAAAGCACAATTGAACATTCATTGCCCTCATCATTCTCAAAACACTTGCTCTCCACCTAAGCCCCTGGCATCAGGTCCTCACTTTTCCCCTCCCTCCCCGCTCCCCGCTCCCTCCAGTCCATCATTCTTTGGGAGCTGTAAAACCTGCAAAGAAAACATGGGAACAAACAGGGCTATTCTCTCATCACCTCTGAGCTCAGCTCAGCCCAGCCCTGGAAATTACTCAGTGTGGCCAACTCCGAAGCACTTTTCCTTTACATATAGCAGTACAGCAGACAAAGACATGTGTGGGAAAGTAACTCCAGTGAATGCTGACACTTTGTTCTTTTAGCAAAATGTTCAATCACACGCAAACCAAAGAAAACAAACAGTAACCCATCCCTTGCTCAGTTTCAAAAATAATCAATATACTAGTGGATGATGCTCATATCCAAAGCCTATACCCCCAAATGGCAACTTATAAATTCACCAGAAACCTCACTCAGGAGAGCTAGAGTGGCAAAGAAAGATGCACAGAAAACAAGCTTCAATCTCAATTCTAGGGAACGTCCACCAAGGTATTTCCACAAATCACACTACCTGGATTTTACTTCCTAACAGGTACATTTCCCATTCACTTATATTTGCCAAGCAAGGGGCCCCATCCACATAAGCCTATATTCATAGCGAAGGGTCAGTGGTCACCACGGTTAGCATCCCACAGCAGTGTCTGGCTTACAACCACCTTCCATTGCGACGGAAGCACTGAGACAAACTTCAGTGAAATAGGCCAGTACAGAATTAGTTCACTCCTGACCTTCTGGAACCCACCACGAGCTGACATGTGGAAGAGCCCAGTCAAGTTTCTCCTTACCGGTACTGTCACGTCATCATAAAAACTCCACGCTAAAGCCCATCTCATGGTCCGACCTTGACAGAACTCAGTGTAGGTGACTTTGGGAACCTGAAACCAATAAACACAGCATCTCATCAAACTGAGGCTGATCCAACTGATGTATTCCTGGCAGCGTTCACTCACATTAAATTCTGAGTTGGTCCTCCTTGTTAATAAACACGACCATCCTACAATGAGCTACGGAATGCCTAATCATCAATGACTACGCTTTCGATAAAGCTTGAGACTAGAAAGAATTTACAGATTTGGCTCAAAGGTCCAAATATGACACACGCAAAACACAGCTGTCTGGGCAATCATTTGTAAAACGATTCAAGTGGCTGGCTTTCTGCTTTTCTTAAGAAAGAGAGCTAGTCAGAGCTGGTTAGAAACAGCTATGCTGTGTCCCTTTTGAGTATCAGAGCCTGGAGGGCCGCAGAGAGGCATGGGGTGAGGGTAGCGGTGGTGTGTGTGTTACCATTTTGCTACTTATACATTTAGAAACAGAGAAGGGGCAAGAGGAAAACAAGATCAGTAGAATGTTAGAGGAACTGGAAAATGTGTGCTAACACACCAGAAAACTGGAGGGCAGAGTAAGAAAGGACTTGTTGGCCACCAGCCTTTCAAAACAGGAACGAGGGTGCAGACTTGTGTGGACTGCCACCACAGTGACAAGTACACTGGACTCAGGCTGCTTTCTTCACAAACTACCCGTGTGACCTGAAGCAAGACCCTATCTCTGCCCTGTTTCTGCATCCGCACTGTGGAACAACACGCAGAATGCACTTAAGTGCAAACTAGCCCAGTTTCTCTTGTAGTCCTAAATTCAATCTCTCTCTCTCTCTCTCTCTCTCTCACACACACACACACACACACAGTTTCATGCTACAAGAAGAAATTCTATACTTAAACTACCTGGGTGAGTAATAAAGTATTGCTACAACACCAAGACTGAGTTAGTTTATAAAAACAAGTGGGATTAATTGAAGGGCGGAGGGATAAATGTCTCGGTGAGCCTCGCCTTTCTAGTTCTCAGGTCCCTTGCTTTGTGATGGTCGCACCAGGGTGCAGCTGCCTTAGCAGTTCCCAGCTTCAGCTTGCAAGGCTGACTTCCTGCAAGACATCCCCAAGGAGACGCCACATGGACCTACCCCGATGTTGCCCTGGGTGCTGGAGCAGCCGTGTGGAGACCCCTGACAGCGCTGAGATGCTCACACATTCACTGACTCGGCATCA